ACACAGTTAGGAGCAAGAAAAAAAAAAAAAAAGAACGCCGTAAATAACACCACAGCACGTGTACCGGCCGTACTGTAGTACACCCCCACCCCCACCCCCACCCTTACCCCACTCGTATTAGAAACACTGCCGTTGTTATTTGTAAGTACTCATGTGCTCGACATGGAACGTGTACCGTGAGCGAATGATGTGAGAAAAACAAAGAGTGAGGAAAATAATGAGATGGGGCGCAAAGGGACGTCGGAGCCGCACGGCTCCCCGAGAGCGGACTGGTAATATCCCGGCATTTCTGGAATATATTAAGAGAAAACTTATAAATACACAGTGTTCTTACCTTTGTCATGCCTCCGTGCTTTTCTCACTTGTCTCTCCACAGTTTCCTCCTAATAAAAAAAACCCACTGGAGATGCTGTGTGTGTTGCAGGAAGCATGAACAGAGGAACCGACACATCACACATTTGCCTGCTGGGACGTTTTTGCCCAGTCGAGCAGCATTAGGAAATAGAGTCCTTGAATAATGGTGCTCTGTTGCTACGGCTAACACATGATATCCAACAAATGTAACACTTTTGATTTGCACATGCTCTGTGCTCTTTACGCTGAGACCTCCCCCTGTCCCTGTCCCTGTCCACGTCTGTCTGTGCTTCTCTGGGAACGTGGACAAAATGGTCTCATGGGGAGAGACTGGGAACGTTTCGTGGACCACATTTAAGTTGTTCCACCACACGTGGGAAATTAGTGTGTAGCTCATATTGACCCTGTGGACAAATCCATATACAGTATGTCCCAGTCACACCTTTCAGCCCACACCCCATATATTTGCAACTTACGATGCAGCATGATACGATATTTGATACAATACTGTATAATACGATTATTGAAGCTTAGTGAATATACTGAATGTGATTTATTGCTAGAGTCTTCAGTGTCCGGATAATGTCAGGTCCCCGAACCTTATGTTGAGATAGAACAGGGAGCCTCCTCGTACGACGTATCAGGTTAGCTTTAGTGTCCCTTTGTGTGAACCAAGGAAACGCTCTGTTGCATCGCAATTGTTCATATTTAAAATTTGTGTGGAAATAACTGGGATTACAAATATAAAAAAGAAAAAAAAAAGTTTTATTAATTAAAACTTCAGGGCCCTCTGCGGTACCATCTCTAACCTCCTGGTGATTTTTCAGTTAATGTTCTCTGTACTAACAGAAGCTGAGGTGACGTTAGCGACGCCAGTTTGGTTTGACTCACAGAATGAAAATGTTTGTTTTGTTTTATGTGGAAATTACAAAATTAACATCAGCTCTTCATGAAGACCTGACACAAATGATAGAGACCATCAATTAGTCACCACCAGCGTGGAGCCCCCCGGTGGCACACAGGCAGTGCCTGCAGCAGCAGTCGAAGTAAAACTTCAGTCCATGAATAGTCCTGATGGTTCCTCTTCATTTTCTGAATGGACTTTTCCTTTAGCGTTTCATTAAATCTATTAAATATATATGTTTAATATATTGGTCTTGTATGTATGGCTTCTTCCTGTGTCTCCTGTGTTGCTTAAGGCTGCAAGCATAGATGGCTTCTTCCTGTGTCTCCTGTGTTGGCTTAAGGCTGCAAGCATAGAAAAAAAACCCTCAAATGACCTGTTGTTGTAATTCAGTATCTGGTGAAGATCATTTAAGTTGTATTTCTGTGGATACCACATATTTGCCAAAGAGAATGAAACACATATTAATGAAGTTGTCACGTTGTAGAGACCGTAGTTTGATCGAGGTCTGAGCCGTAATCCCAGTTTGGAGATAACTCTTCTGCTCTCCACATTAAAGTCATAAATCGACATTAAACCAGCGGTCCGCACGTGTGATGTGTACGAGGCGTTCTGGTGTTTGCTTTTACGACCACGATGTTTACTATCCTTTAAATCGAGCCTCTTAAATGAAGAGATCAGTCAATACAGATAAAGATAAGTGAAGTTACGCGCCTGATAAATACTTAATCACAGCGATGAGAAATGAAAGAGTCACCGGAATTGACTTAATATATCAGCGCTACTGGTCATTAGTTGAAAGAGGCAGAAATCCTGGCAGTGTGTACAGTAGTAAAGTAAAGCTGCCTTGGTTTTTTTGCTTTTATCTCCCCCTACTGGTTAGCAATTCAACTAGCGGTTATTGATTATTTCGGGTTTCAAACATTTGATCTAAATTGAGTGCACTACATGTGTTTAATGGTCTTGAAACGGCTACACTCTGATCATGTATGATGACAGAGTCGGGGTTAATACATCATCCTCCGTAAACAGCTCCCAGAAAACTGTCGGTTTTTTTTTTAGAGAGCTGCATATTTTTTATACCATCGTCATAAACAACTTAAAGCTAAAGGTTCAACTGCAACTGATTTGTTCAACACTTGACTGATGC